TCAGCCCGAGTTGGTTTTGGTTTGTCAAGTAATTTAATTTCTAAATTCACTAGAGGGTGTGGTAATCCTGGTGCTATTTTTGTTTCTTTGCAAACAAAGTTCATATTCCACCCAGGTATTATGGCTCCTGTCTTTTTTTTTTTTTTTTTGTCTCCTGGCATTTTAATCAGAGAAAAGTCACAGTTGTTTTGAGGAAAGCACTCCCAAGAGCTTTAATTAAAGCTGGAAGGATAAATCTGTTTACAGTTTGGCGAACACTATCATTAATAAAACATTGAAATAATTAACGAATTGAATTCTGCTTTGTGTGTCAATGGCAACGTTCAGGATCTTTGAGAACGTCTCCCCAGAAGACGCAGTACACTGTGTACTTAGTTTGCAGAGATGAAAAGGAAAATCTGAAACTGCATTTCTCTGAATTTCATAGATTATTGACTGGGAGAGCCTGAATGGAGTGAAGGCTACGTTATCTTTATTTTCTAGGAAAAGAAACTCAGTTTCAAAGAGCTTGATGGCCTGGGTTCTAACGCTGTGCTTGAAAAGGAAGATATTTGATCGCAGCACTGAAACACAGAGTCTGTACTTTGCATCCTAGATTGATTAACCAGAAACAAAGGAAGAAAAAAGGTGAAATTAATACTACGATCAGCTGCTCTGGGACACAGAACACAAAATGGAATGATCTGGAAAAAAAGGCAGGACAGGCAAATTTCATAGTATGATTAACTCTGCCATTGACAGACAATGAGGAATTTTTTAGTAGCTCAGGATATGAAGTGGCCTTTTGAGCAGGATATGGCTGTGTGCAAACCTTCACATGGGGACTTCCTCAGGCTGCTTCTCACTCAGAGGCTCCTTGACTTGTTTTTAAGCTTCTGGCAGACAACAGATCTTACAGGAAGCTCCAATGTGGACGTTCATATCGACAGTTAATGATGCATTGTTATTATTTTTTTTTAATGCCACTCAGTAATTTCCTAGAGAAAACAATGAGAACCAAAGCCTGTTCCTGTCTTGATGGAAAGTCAGCTTCCAATATCGCCTTATTAATTTAACACATGCAAGTGTTTGTGTACTTGTTGTTGCTACAGCAACTTGTTTTGTGGAGGCGTATTTCATGCAAAATGTGAAAAAGCTGAAGAAGGAAACAAATGTCACCTGCATACTTATGTGCAATAAATAGAAGCGTATGTGTGCAAAGGTTCTCGTGAGGACAGGTACCTGCCTCTTGCCCTCCATCTAAATTATGCTGTACTTGTTGGTAAATTTATAAAAAATCTATCTAATGAAGACAACAAGCCAACCACTTCCAAGGAGTTTCAGAAAAGCTGGAAACACGTGAAATTCTTCATAATTAGGTGATCGGTGGATGATAACAGCACCCACCCTGTACACAGACACAATAAGCATGAGCCTGTTGAGCTCAGAAGGAGAAAAATGATCATTTTACCTCAAGGTGAACCTGAAGCTAAGCTTTTGCAACTTTCACCTTTCAGAAGGATGGAGCAGCCGAGACTCTGCCCTCTAGACTTAGAAACAGGAAGCAACCAGCCCATCTCAATGTGAGTCGGCAGGGAGGTGATAGACACTACATAAAATACACTTGAAAGTATACGAATGGTAATAAATGGTAGAGATCCTGCATACTGTAATGTAAACACGTGGGTGTTAGAGTCTGATAGACCTTGTTTCCAAGCCTGGTCACTGACTATGACCTTGAGTGTTGACTCCCTTCTCCGAACTTCAGCATCCTCATTTTTAAAATGGAGATGATTGCACCTCCTTCCCAGGACGGCAGAGAGGATCAGAAAAAAATATACATCAAGTACTTAGCGCAGATAGGGCCACATTCTGTGTACTCAATAAAGAATCAGTTTCCTAAGAGTAGGACGGTCAGCATTCAAGCTCTCCTCCCTCTAGCCAGGTGGAGCCATGGCTTCCTGTCACCCTGAAGAAGTTAAGTGTGGTTCTATGAGGTGCTTTGGCAGTGAAGGTGGGTGGAAATGACCCAGCAAGGAGACCCGAGAACCCGCACAATGAGCCACAATCTTCCTCCCTTTGCGATATGGTCAGGCTTTGTGTTCCCACCCAAATCTCATCTTGAGTTATAATCCTGAGCATTGCTGGAGGGACCTGGTGGAGGTGATTGGATCATGGGGGTGGTTTTCCCCATGCCGTTCTCATGATAGTGGGTGAGTTCTCACGAGATCTGATGATTTTACAAGTGTTTGGAAGTTCCTGCTTCACTCACTCTCTCTCACCTTCCACCACGTAAGATGTGCCTGCTTCCTCTTCTGCCATGATTGTAAGTTTCCTGAGGCCTCCCTAGTCATTCAGAACTGTGAGTCAACTAAACCTCTTTCCTTTATAAATTAACCCAGTCTTGGGTAGTTTTTTATAGTGATGTGAGAACAGGCTAGTACACTCTGTCTTGGGGCAGGCAACATTTCAGAGGACGACTGTCCCCTGAGTCTGGGTCCTGGTGTGAGAAGATGTGGAACAGACCCCAGCCCAGCCACAGAACGTGGCATGAGCAAGAAGAAAACCCTCTAGTTTTGGGGATTTGAGGTCCCCTGCTTCTCCTCATTCATTCATCTCTTTTTGTCATGTTTTCTCATTGACAACAAGCGATGAATGATTTATCTTTTTTTCTTCTGGGGCAATCTCAGATTGTGTCTAACTTTAAAGAATGATGTAAATCTGTTCTGTTGACAAATGCTTTGTGAGAGGCCATGTAGTCTCAGTGTTTTAACTGACAAAAGAATTGCCTTACACAGACGAATTGCTACAGTTGCAGTTTTAGAGCTCCTGGAAGACCACTTTCTACCTTAGCGAGAGCTTCCCACATCACCAAGAATGGGACTACATTCCTGATACAGGAGTGCTGGGCAGGGAAGAGTGTGGTCCCTTTGAATGAAACGGATGTGGGGAAGGAAAGTGCAGCCTATAGAAAGGAGGGTCCCTGGCTAGGACTCTACCCCCACAGACCGAGGTAAAGACAGGCACTTCTGCTTTCCCACCCACATGTTGCATTTTCCAAGACCACCCTGGCCCACCACGCCCCCATCCTGGGCCTTTAAAAACCCGAGACCCCAGCAGGCAGACACACAAGTGGTCAGACGTTGTGAGGAACACATTGTGGGAAGCAGGCAGAAGTGGCTGGTCGTTGAGAGCCCGCTGGTGGCAGGCTGGTAGGCCATGCATGGGCAGAACAGAGCTGTTGCGGGGGAAACCACCTCCCTTCCGGCTCCTCCATCTGCTGAGAGCTGCTTCTACTCAATAAAACCTTGCACTCATTCCCAAAGACCACATGTGATCCGAATCTTCCCATACACCAAGGCAGGAAACCCTGGGATACAGAAATCCCTCGGTCCTTGTGATAAGGAAGTGGGGGTCTAACTGAGCTGGTGAGCACAAGCTGCTTATAGACGGCAAACCAGAAGAGCACCTGTAACCCACGCCACGGGGGCTGTGGCTGTAAATATTCACCCCTAGACACTGCCGGGGGGTGGGAGCCCCGCAGCCTGCCTGTCTGCATGCTGGCCTAGAGATTTGAGCAGCGGGGCACTGAAGAAGTGAGCCACACCCCTATCGCATACCCTGTAAGGCAGACCAGGGAACCTTTCCTGTTCCGTTATCATGCAAACATGCTTAGTGCTGCGAAATGCATGCTTCCCCCAAGAGGCACATCTGTCAATCATACCGAACTGCTCTTTGGTTTGGCTATGTGGGAAAACAAGTTACCAAGAGCTATTTTGACACAGGCAAATTCATTTCGTTTCTGACTTAATCTGGAGCTGGATTCAGCAATCCCAAGGCAGAAGACTCATCTTTTCTCACCCTCTACATATTTCTCAGTGTTGGAGGTTAGCATGAGTTCAGTATCCTGCAATAGGCCGTTTCACTTTAAGTGTATGTTAAACTAATATTGACCTTTCTGAAGTAAAACAAAATCTGGTATTTGTGCTCAAAAGACTGAAGCAGCAATAGATGTGGAAAGGAGAGGATTAACCATCTTGTACGTTTTGTGTTTTTTCTTGCTTAGAAACTCTCCCTGGGAATCAGACATTTCATATCTAGCAATAAACGTAAGACAGGCTCTGACTATTCTTCTGAAAAGGAAGCCTGGATCCTTCAGCAAATAATCTTTTGTGTAATTTGCCCACAGTTTAACCCACAGATCCAGTTATGGATGTTTTATTTAACAGTAAGTGACAAATGCAGGGCTGTCAGCATCAGGCCTTGGGTGGGAATACCCAGATGTCAAGGTTGAGCAAGTGGGTCTTAGGAATGGTGCCAGGGACGGGAGAGGGGTAGATTAGACGGCTGGAAAACGCGGTCAGTGTGGTGATGGGGGGCAGATGAGGGATCTGTGGGGGTATGAAAGTGACAGTGGGAAGGGAATGTCAGGAAAGCAGAGGCAGCATCATTAATGAGGACACAGATATGTACATTCCATGCATAAACATGGATATCTTGTCAACAGAGAGTGCCTTCAACTAAAAGTCCTTCTTGGATGTGTGCTCTATAGACCTCCATGGAAAAACACACTCCAACCTTTCCTTCCCTCCTCTGACCCTGAACAAACAGAACACCTATACTTGGAAACAGTTACTTCGTACACGTCTATAAACAGGATTCATACATTTTATCCAGGAAATAAAAACATGTCAAAATAGGAAGCCCATCAACAGATAATGTGTAGTTAGGGAAAAATCCGATCTTTGAGTTGTTATCAAAGTGAGACGTCTGTGCTCACATTCTTGGAAGAGTAGTGTGTAAGTATCTGAGAAGATAAATGGGCTTTCGGGGATGTCAACTGGGCCTGCCTTTCTCTGATCATGTAGTGATGGGCTCGTTCTTCAGTGATTTATACCTGATCGCTGTTAACCTCTCTTCTTATTGGAAGCCATTTGGCACAGTACCACTTTCTGTCAACAGCCTCTCTAGTTGATCAAAAACGTATTCAACCCATATAGGCTGGGTCTTGGGCTGCATACCTGTATCCACTCTCGGTAGGAATCTTCGCCAGGAGTCCACCCATTCTCGGGGTAGTTCAGGCGGGAGCGCTCTGCAGACCAGTTGGTGCTATACTGGGAGGAAGCTGTGATCTGGTCAGAATGAATTTCTCCTGATTCCATGCCCAGAGCTTCCATACACTTGAAATCTGAAGGGAAAATCAGGACCCAAAGTCATCAAAACATAGGCGATTTAAGATGCATTTTTCTCTTTAAGTTGACAAACCAAAGACTTCATTCATTCAAAGTTCTTTCAAAAGAGGGCAGTAAGGGATTTAGTGGAATATGGTACTGATACTTGGATTTTCCTGGCAATGTTTAAAAACAAGGTTATGAAGATCATACAATGATTAAAAATTTTCCTAAGTGGACCCTAGGTTGACAAAAAGACGATTGGAAATTTACCAGGAAATGCTGAAAATTCTGATTTATTTTCACAGTTGAGTGTACGTGTTAATATCTATGTCTCTACCTGTGGTATGGGTACACACCAAAAGTTGTATTTAAAATAAAATTTTAGCATTAAATTATTTCTTCTAACATCGAAGAAATACAAATACAATTCATAGTCAATGGACAGTAGATCTTACGTCCCTGGCTTTCAGATTCTCCTGCTGGTACCCAGACTACCTCTTCCTGACTTTCTTTGTCCCCACCTCTGGCCTGATCACAACTATTAACATAATTAGTTTATTTTATTAAAACACAAAATTTTGCATTGGGGGTAAACTGCACTGTCGCACAGCCCCAAAGCACCACAGTTGTAGAGCATAAAATCATAATGCTCACAGTAGTGACCACGAAACATCAAAATCTAGATTCCCTGAGGCCTAACATCGTCAGTTTGACGATACTGGGAAAAGAAGCATTCAGTTGTGGGAAAATGTTAATCCAAAGTACACAAGTGAAAAAAAGGCTTTAGAGATTAAAGGGAAGATTCTCGACCATCCAGAAAATCTCAGCTAACCAAAAGTTCACATTTTTAAAATTTTCTATCACAACAGATAAGGTTTTAGAGCATACAAAGTTTTCTTGCAATGGCTTCATATTTACTTAAGTTGGTTATCTGTAATATAACAATTATTTGCAGGCACAAAAATACATAAATCAATTCATCAAATAAATAAAGTACACATAAGATTTTGAAATTTCACTGGCCTCTTTATTTCTCAGCGAGACCTGGTGTAGAAGATACTAGCATGTCTGTAGGATACCTCTCCAAACACCCCTGGTCCTCTCCCTGTGATACTTTACAGCCTGGCAGCTAGAGCTGGTAACCGCATAAACAATTTATTCTTTGTTCTTTTTTGGTGCTCTTCTTTGGACAAGGACTCACTCTGTCAACCAGGCTGGAGTGCAGTGGCACGAGCATAGCTTACAGCAGCCTTAAACTTCAGGGTTCAAGCAATCTTCCTATAGTCTCCCAAGTAGCTGGGACTACAGGCGTGCTCCACCATGCCCAGCTAACTTTTAAATTTTTTTGTAGAGTCAAGTTCGCAATCCTCCTGCCTCGCCCTCCCAGAGCACTGGGATTACAGGCATGAGCCACCAGCCCTGGCCTTTTTTCTTTGTTCTTTCAGATTTTTTTCTTGGGCCTTTAAAACAGCTAGAGACCACAAAAACTTGAAGAAGGGTTGAGTTAGCTGGGTATTTTTTTTTTTTTTTTGAGATGGAGTCTTGCTGTTTCGCCAGGCTGGAATGCAGTGGCTTGGTCTTGGCTCACTGCAACCTCCACCTCCTGGGTTCAAACCATCCTCCTGCCTCAGCCTCCCAAGTAGCTGGGATTACAGGTGCGCACTACCACGCCCAGCTAATTTTTGGATTTTTAGTAGAGACGGGGTTTCACCGTGTTGACCAGGGTGGTCTCGATCTCTTGACCTTGTGATCCTTCTGCCTTGGCCTCCCAAAGTGCTGGGACTACAGGCATGAGCCACCGCGCCCAGCTGAGTATTTTCATAGAATACAAGAGTCATAATGGCTTCTTCCAGTGTCTTCCACAACCAAACCACTGTGCATTATCCACACTTTGTGACTGCTCTGTTGGTGACCTACCACAGATTTGTTCTTATCGTTTGGCACAGATGCCTGTCCTCTTATGATGCTCAGCCTTGTATACATTTGAGGGTGCCAGGTAGATGCTTTGGTCATATTTCATTGCTTTAAGGCACGATTTTGCCATCTCCCACTTTCTTCCATAATTTCTGAGGCTCCCAAGCAGGCTTCTCACCCACCATGTTATAAAGAAAGCACACCAAATTGTTCTTCCTATTGATATTCATGAAAACAATTTAAAAGAGAAGAGCCGATACCTGGCACCCCCATTCACAAAACATTTCCTTAGTGCTTCATGTGGCCGCAGGTGTGTGAGCAGGAATAACACTGAGTATTTACCACAGGGCTTGGCAAAATGAATCAACACTGACCTTCTGAGATGCTGCTCTGCAAAACGGTGTAGTTTGCTGAGAAACCTTCTTTTGCTATTGCGGTGTCGGTGTAAAAAACCATGGATAGAATGCCCGACGAGGAACGGATTCGACCTGGCGTTTTCTGTCCACAGTAACGCCCAATGTGAGGGCCAACTGAAAAGGAAGGAACACAGACAACGTGTCAAAATGTCTTTTCTCCTGCAGCAGACGCAAGAATTCCCATTTACAAACATGGGTCCCAGCAGAACCCAGAAGTGTTTTCTAACCCAAAGCAAGGCTTCCCTAAGTTAATTGGTTTGCAGTGAACATATTGGATTGGGTTTGCGGAGAAGATTTTAAGTGTACTCAGAAGGGCAGTAACAGGCATAACCGCATTCCCCAGTGAGCAGAATTGTTTTCAGGAACAGAATCAAAATGCTTGCTTCAATTGCAAAGAATGAGATTTAGGCTACTGAAAAGGCACCTTGGTGCCCATTGACAGGGCAAAACTGTATACACAGCCCAACGCCAAAAGATTCCTGCCAGGTTATGTCACCAAGGTTTCTCAGAGTTACCTGTCCTCACCTCTCTTGCCCTAGGGGGAGATTCTGGGGATGCTGATGTCCTGGGAACCCTCTGGTCTGATCAGTCCCGCGGTCTCATCCAGGTGTGACAAGCGACTGGCTTCCTCATGTTATCTTTTAGCCCTGGATTCTTATTATGATAAACGTCACAGGCTTGGACAAAGGACAATGGATTATGTCCTACTCAGGGCTTTATCTGAAGACTAATTAATCACTGTAACCATGTAAAACATTAGAGACTACATATACCAATAATTTATATATAATGGCAAATTGTAATCGAAATGAAATGAAAATGCATCTTTCTGACTCTGTCCCAGTTTTTTCTCTCCTACATCTGAGAAGTGACTTGTTTCCAGTGGCCAAGAAATCACCCAGAGTAACCATTTGTGCACATCAGGAAAAAAAGCGGACTTCAGAAGGTGAATGATTGGCCACACCCATTCATTTATGTTAAAGTCAAACTGTGCTTTGATGGCCGGGCATGGTGGCTCAAGCCTGTAATCCCAGCACTTTGGGAAGCCGAGGTGAGGTCATTAAGAAAACACTTCTGGGTTCTGCTGGGACCCATGTTTGTAAAGCCAAGGTCGTACTTGAGGTCAGGAGTTCGAGACTAGCCTGGCCAACATGATGAAACCCTGTCTCTACTAAAAATACAAAGATTAGCCGGGTGTGCTGGGCAGTGCCCGTAATCCCAGCTACTGGGGAGGCTGAGGCAGGAGAACTGCTTGAACCCAGGAGGTGGAGGTTGCAGTGAGCCAGAATCACACCACTGTACTTCAGCCTGGAAGAAGGAGTGAGACTCTGTCTCAAAAAAACATAAAAAACAAAAAAGCAATTTGCTGTTTGATTTAAACTGGCCATACCTTTGTTGAAGTGCTTTAGGCAAACCCTAGCAATGAGTAAACTGGAAATGGCCTTGGGAAGAGTGCAGAACGCCCTGGATGGGGAACCTTTCCATTTCCCTGTCCTGATCGTCAACAAGCCACACACAAAAAGGAGTCCCTTTTTTTCTCTCGTTTTTTTCATTGCACATATGGTAAAAACATACCAGATGGTTTGGGTTTAGAAGGACAATCTGGTGTGGACTGTTTTCCCCTCCAAGAAATCCATGGTTCTGTGCGTTTCAACTAAGAACGACTGCTTTGTTTAAAGAAGACATTAGCTGGACATGTCCCCGGAGGGAGGGGCCTTCAACAGGGACGGGGCATTCCAAGGCCAGTGTGTGCAGTTTGGATGCAGGACGCGGCTGATGAAGGCCGGGAGAGACTTCAAGTGTGGTTACCAAAGTGAACCCTGTAAAAACTGGTCTCCCTGGAGCCCCAAGTACCAGCTGCGTTCCTAGCAGGCAGCAAATCTGAGCCCCTATTTTGTAGATTGTACAGATCCTTGGCTGACAGGTTTTCAGCTCTTGGCCAATTTCTTTTAAAAAAGAAAAAAAAATCAAACCCAGACAAAATAAAATAACTAAATTAACCAAAATGGTTTACCTACTTGAGTTAGCGCAAAAATGGGTGGCTTTGAATACCTGATAATTCCTCGATGTGTTGAAAATAATGAATTTGGCTGAATTCAGAGTTTTCTCTCTCTTGCAACCCCTCACTCTCCCTCCAGGCACCACACCGTTTGTGTTCATAGAAGGCTTTATCGTGAAGACCAAGGAGGATGGCCCAGTGAGGAGGATTGATACAGATTATCTACAGGGAATTGCACTGCCATGCAAAATAGCTTTGCATTATGAAAGCAAGTTTTGTTATATTAGACTTCTCTGTTGGCAGAAGAAAGTATCTCAGAAGATGAAACTCTTGCTGCTTTCTGTCTCTCTTCAGCTTTAATCCTGGCTTCTGATTCTTCTACAGACAGTGGTTCTTTGCTATTTAATAGATTTTCTTCATTCTGGGTGTGACCCTACTAGTAATGCAACATTTTTTTTTCGTATCTCTGGAGACCAAAGTTGTCTGTAACATACACATCAAATTACCTTGCTAGAACCATACACTTACGTCTTTACCTTCCTCAAATTATCTCATTTCTGATCTGCAATATTAAATAGAAGGCTTAGAGTCCATTCAGACTTCCTCACTATTTTTTCGCTCATTTAAATTCCATTAGTGTGGCTTCATGATGTTTTTTCTTTAGTTTGTGGGCAAACGTTTACAGCCCTAATCTGTGGGGTCGTTCTCTGATCACCACAAGCGGCTGACCTCCCCCAGAATGCAGGCTCGCAAGCAAAGCTGTGATCGCTCCGTGGAAGCTCAGGCAGCTGATCCTCCCTGCCACTATCACCCAGTCCTTTGGGGGAGGGCAGAAGGGGAATCTCTTTGAAAGAGAAAACAGAAGAGAACTTGTCTGATGCAGACTTGCAATTTAGAGAGTCTCCATGACTCACTGGTTTATAATGTTTAAGACATGCTGGGTAAATCTGCCTTCTGTCCCTTAGAACATTGCCCCCGGGACAACAGTGTGTCACTCTCTTTAGGAGCCCTCAAGATATGCAAGTGAAAGGCTTTTTCGACTATGATACAAAGGAGTATTGAATTTTCCTGAACAACAGCGAGACCCTAGCCTAGCAAGCTAATACAATATTGATCTGGGCGAGAGAGAATGAAGTACTCTTCCCCATCTCCTGTGTGTGCTCATTTGCCTATTTACATGAACACAGCTATTGGATTTCCTATTTCTGTTGCTGTGGACCCAAGGGCTGAGGAGATGAATGAAAGCGGTCACAAAAACAGAAGTATAATTCAAAAACTGAATTATTGCAGAATTTCAGCAATTAACATGTGCCACGCTTCAGGGAGAGGAGAGCTATAATGATCACATCATATCAAATGTGAAGGGAATGTAGTATTTATGCCATTTAAAGATATGCCTGCAACAGGCAATGGTGATCCGACTTCCTTTGCATTTTCTCATTAATCTCTCCAATAATTATAACCTTATCTCAGAATCAGATGATTTGACTTTCTGCCACCTTTTTTTGTGAAAAAATAAAGTGCTGATTTACTCTAAAGAGGCACTTTTCTTTTTTGAGACAGAGTTTCACTCTTGCTGCCCAGGCTGGAGTACAGTGGTGTGATCTTGGCTCACTGCAATCTCCGCCTTCTGGATTCAAGAGATTCTCCTGCCTCAGCCTCCTGAGTAGCTGGGATGACAGGCATGTGTCACCATACCCGGCTAATTTTGTATTTTTTTTAAAAGTAGAGACAGGGTTTCTCCATGTTGGTCAGGATGGTCTCAAATTCCTGACCTCAGGTGATCTGCCCACCTTGGCCTCCCAAAGTGCTGGGATTACATGCGTGAGCCACTGTGCCTAGCCAAAGAGGTACTTAATTTTGGGGGGTTCTCACTCTGTTGCCCAGACTGCAGTGCAGTGGCACAGTCATAGCTCACTGTAACCTGGAACTCCTGGGCTCAAGTGATCCTCCTACTTCAGTCTCCTGAGTGGCTGGGACTCCAGGCTCATGCTACCATGTCCAGCTAATTTTTAAACATTTTTTTTTTTTAGAGATGGGGTCTCATCTCACTATGTTGCCCAGGATGATCTTGAACTTCTGGCTTCGAGCAGTCCTTCCACCTAGGCCTCCCAAACTGATGGAATTACAGGTGTGAGCCACTGCACCTGGCCTAAAATATACTTTTAAAATGAGGTATTTTGAATAATTTAAAAATGGATTAATTTCAAAGGTACAAGATAGGCCATTTATGCTTTTCTGAAATTAGGAGACTTTTTGGTATAGAATATCTGGAATACCAAAAATACATCTTGCAGCTTCTCCCCAGAAAAAAATCTGGCATATTTATATCTCTTCTAAATTAATCTTTAGAAGGTGAATTTAAATGTAAAAGTAAATTAAAAATGTAAAAATAAAAAAAAAAGCAGAACTCAATTTAGCTTTTATGAAATGCATTCCTGAAATGGTTGGTAATTTTTGGAATGTAGGTAACAACTGCAATTCCAGCCCCATTCACCAGCTGAGGCAGAGAGCTGACTTCATCTGCACCAACGCGATGTGAGCTAAGCATTCTCTTCCGCTGCCATCGTTCGGAACCAGCACTTCCAGCATGTACCAGGGCAGTGACGCTGCGCTCTTGATCTTAACCCACACGTAAAACTCCACCAATTCTTTCAAAGTTGCTACTTGTGAATCCGTACAGCTTCAAACAGAGTGAGAGATGGAGATGTGTGATTCACAACACGCATGCCTTGAATTTTGAATTCTGGAGTAAACTGCTTTTCTTCAAAGTCCATTTGGATCAATGGGTAGCTTTCAATTTACCTCATCATTTAATTCAATGTTTATGATAAAATGCAACATAAAACCACGTGATGGTTAAAAGCCTTCCGCACCTTCTGGTTGTTGTTTTTGGAAAGGATATCAAAGACTAAACGCAATTTTGTTGGCAGAGGGACGGTATGTGTTGAACTACTATGACAAAAATGTTTCTAGTGCCATTGACAGAAAAATATCCAGGAGGATGGAGTTTTATTTTGCCTCAAAAAGAAAACTGTTATGCTGGTGCAGGCTGATTGAGGCCAGGTAAATATTAACAAACATATAAAGCGTTCTTCATAATCCAAAGCCAGTTTTCTCTGGAACAAGTGAAAGGCACCATAGTTTAAAACATGCATAAATTGCAAGGCTGATAACTCTTATTGTTAATTGTTCCTTGCTTCAACTCAGTGATTCTCTAGAGCCAGAAAATTACTACTTTGAAAAACCCTTGACACTAATAACAATGTGCCTTCTTTCTGAAAATCTTCTAAATAAGTTGGTTGATTGGACCTCCTCTTCAGATGTCAATTTAAATGAAAGTTCTAGAAAGGAAGGCTGCAAATTTGGGTTGTGAACAAATAACTCCATTGTAAAATGTTCCAACTATTGCTACAATATTATTATAATATTGTTTTCTAATTATCAGATTGAATACTTGGAAATTGATCAGAACTCTGGGCAAATCTCATTATTTAATAAAGGAGTTTTGATAAGATTATCATAACCCTGTTTATATGGTAAAAGAGCAAAGAAGATATTAAACTAATGTTAACTCACCCATTTATTCCGATGGCAATATAAGGCTTCCCTATACCTGGTCTTTTTCTAATGCTGTTTACTATTGAGGAATGTAGCTAAATTGAATCACACTAGTAATAATGTCATTTCAAAGACTAAGTCAATCTTTTTTGCATTTCAATTCTTTTTTTTTTTTTTTTAAACAGAGTCTTGCTCTGTTGCCTAGGCTGGAGTGCAGTGGCCGCGATCTCAGCTCACTGCAACCTCTACCTCCCGGGTTCAAGTGATTCTCCTGCCTTAGCCCCCTGAGTAGCTGAATTACAGGCGCGCACTTCCATGCCTGGCCAATTTTTGTATTTTTCGTAGAGATGGGGTCTCACTATGTTGGCCAGAATGGTCTCGAACTCATGACCTCAGGTGATCCACTGCCTTGGCCTCCCAAAGTGCTGGGATTACAGATGTGAGCCATGACACCCAACCTACATTTTACTTATTCTTTATGTACAATGTATTTAAATATTCTTTTGAGAATAGTATCTGACTCTATTTTACAGATAGTTATACATCTCCTGACTCCATGACGCTGAAAAACTTCCAAGCCATCCTCTCTGATCTGTGTAATGTGTGTTCTCTAGAGAAATCTTAATATTATCCCAGATGAAACACGAGACAAGCAATGCAGCTGTAAGAAATTATTTGATATTATCCCCCTCTGTTCAGAATTGCACTGTGTATCTTTGCCATTAACCTTCTAATTCCCAAGAGTGGAGTGGAAAACTTTCATTGAGATGCCCACATGGCTACTTCCTCTACCTCCTTCAAATCTTCGCTCAAATGTCATTTTCTTTAATAAGGTCCAACCTTACCACCCTATTTAAAATTTCAACCCTTGACTCATTCCTTGACTCTGCTGTACTCTTTCCTGCTTTCATTTGGAGAGATTTATTTCTAGCACTTCTCACCTTCTAACATTTCACACACATAATTCATTTATTTGTAATGTGCTTTGTTTATTGTCTCATTCTCCCTAGCAGAATGGAAACTCCAAAGGGCCGCATCTTTCATTGTTTGGTTTATCCTGGGCTAGGATAGTACCTGCTACATGACAGATGCTCAGGAAATAATTTTTGGCTATATGAATGCGTTTAGATGCCAGATCAATGACTATAAATGAGGTATTGAAGTGACTCAAATTCCCAAAGATAAGTAATCTGTAGTGTGTGTGTACAGAGGATCTGTCTAAATTAGGAATGCCCAAACATTCACATTCCTTTTCCAAATTTTTATTTTGTAGCGTAACACATGCATAATTTGGCCTTAAAATTTTATCAAGTACTCAACCTCTCAGGTCCTTGGTCTCTGCATTTATGATTTGATGGAATGGAACTAGTAAGCCCATCCTCTGACAGTCTGTGAGTTAATGATGAGTAGCCAGGTCAGTGGATGAGCAAAATACTTTAGTGAGAAAAACTAGGTGTTGTCCCAAATATATCATAAAAACAGCTACAGGATCTTTCATAATCTTTCACGGCCTCAGCTTCCTTATTTATAAACTGAAGGAACTGGACTAGATAATTACTAAGGTTCTTCTTGAGCTCAATGATTTCATCACTGCTCTGCATAAAAAGGGTTTTCCTTTGTTTTCCAATGTTCTTTTGAGCTTTTTTTAATTTTTTAATCATGGATGTATCATGACACTTGTAAAAGAATCCTGGTGCCCTTCCTCCAGAACCTTCCCTTTTTGGGGTGCTTCCTGTCATTCTTACCATCAGGGAATCCATCCCAGATTTCCAGCCGGTCGTAGCGACAGAATATCCCCCCTGGGGGATTTGAGTCAGGCTCCAGGTCAAAGCTTTCGAATTCCAGGATAATCTCTGACATCTTTGGTGCAAAGATAATATAAGTGCATTCAAGGCCATTGGGATATTTTACAGGGAATCCAGGGGACTTTATCACTCCACTAGGTGTTGTGTAGTTCTGGGAACATTCAGGACCTACGAGTAGAATAGAAAAGGGAGTAAAGTGAAAATCCCACTTAAACAACTTCCCCAAGAAATAACCTGGGCAAAGACAGAATATCTTTCTGATAAAAGTCCGCCATTATAACCCCTGTGCTAATCATGCCTTAGTCAGCCTTTCCATATTAGTAAAACGGGTATGGAAAGTCAAGTTCAGATTTATTGTGTTAACCTTAGCTTTCCATTTGTATGGAGCAATTTAAAGACCTGCTGTGGCAGGGAAAAAAATGACAAATATAAAATCATGTGGGAACAATGAATGAATAAGCTGCAGAAATCTCGACAGAGCCCTAGAGAAATAATTACAGCCCCTTCAAGCTTAAATCTTTAAATCTTGAGGCTGACAGCCCTTTATTGGTGAAATAGAACATTTATAAAGGCGAAGGAGAGAATTCAGTGGAGGGAGTTTGGGTTTCAGATTCCTACACCAGTGACTCAGTAACTCTGCCAGATGTGACCTCTGCCTCTTTGACAAACGAAATGTGAAAGGTAATTCGTACATGTACCAAGGGTGAGTGACTCATTTTGAGTGGTGTTGACACAGGTGGGCCGGTAAAGTGTGGCTGTTAGTGAGGGCACGATAAACTGTGATTACAGGCCATGATGCCGGAAGTCACCTGATAGCAATGCTGACATCCTAACCTTCCCTGAAGTATCAGACACAGCATAGTAGGCCATTCTAAAATTGCGTGTTACTAGATGTGTGTATAATGCATATATTTATAATGTGTAATTTTAATGGCTGTTCAGTACCACCAAGACTTTACAAATTATGGTGATTTGTCATTGAAATTGGTCAAGAGCGTCCACGCATACAGTGCAGGTTGACCTTATGCCTGTGTGAGCGACTCGTTTCAATTCATGGTATCCAGCATAGGGTGGTATTTGCTACACAATTCAAAATTGCCCTTCTTGGCCAGATGCGCACTGTGGCTCACGCCTGTAATCCCAGCACTTTGGGAGGCCGAGGTGGGTGGATCACCTGAGGTGACGAGTTCCAGACCAGCCTGGCCAACATGGTGAAACCTCGTCTCTACTAAAAATAGAAAAATTAGCCAGGCGTGGTGGTGGGCACCTGTAATCCCAGCTACGTGAGAGGCTGAGACAGGAAAATCACTTGAATCTGGTGGTGGAGGTTGCAGTGAGCCAAGATCATGCCATTGCACTCCAGCCTGGGCGACAGAGCGAGACTCCGCCTCAAAGAAAACAAAACAAAACACAAAACAACTACCTTCTCTACCAACATGAGCACACATCAGCTCAGTCCCTCAGTACCACCTGCTGCTCTGATCTTCAGCTAGCTACACTTAAGACTCTTGTGAATCAGAGAGGTCTTGACCCTTCTGAATTTCAGGATCAAATCTGGGGGTGTTCAATTCAACAACTCTTTTCCTGCACCATTTTCTCCCAGTGACTTGAAGGTAGAAGTGATGGGGCCCGAGCAATGGCATGCAAGGATAAATAAGGGACTTTGTTGAGATTATTCTTAACTAAACCTTCTCCCAAAGTGCCAGGCAACCAGAGGCAACTTATTAGGTGTTGATAGAGATTAAAGTTAACTAGTAGGTCTCTGTTTTTAGTGATTTGGGTCAGGGGCTGAATACCAATGGAGTGCATCTGGCAGCCTATTGAGAAAACAAATCAATCCTGTTCTCCCCGTGCACATATCAGCTATCTATGGACCCACGGCACTGCAGCTGCAGAATTCTTAGATGGGCACAGGAAACCTGGTCTGCAGAGTCTGACTTATTTGAAATACCTCTCAAACCATCTTGACATGGCTCACCCTTCACCACAAGAGCTGCAAATGCTTATCTATTTGATATTGATTCAAAAGTGAGTAATGTGGCACTTCGCCAGGTCAATTCCAGGTAGAGATCATCACAGTGCTGTATGGTTTATAGTCTGTTTCTAAATTACTCTGGTGGCTTCTGAGATGACAGGAACTATTATAATTTGAGTGATTTATTAAAAAAGGAAAAATATATATGCACATATATGATATTGGGGACCTTTTAGGATTTTATAGCCACAGTATGGAAATAGTTACCCTGGAGACCTCCAAATTCCTCCCTGGGGAAAAAAATGCTTTGGCTACATTCTTGTAAGGCAAAGTAAACAGCAAGGTTTCAGGCAGAGGCTAGTATTTTCTCCTTAAAAAGATAAAATGTTTCAGTTACACAAATTTATTGAGAAAAAATGACGGGAATTAAGGTCACACTTTCAAAACCAAATGAATTTCAGTGCTTTCTCTTTGTCTTTGTCATGACATGGAAGTGATCCCAGGTTTTCTTGTGTATTTTGACAAAACAATGGGAAATTCCATGGGGTGATGGAGGAGAACTGGATGGAGCCCCAGGGACCTGAATCCCAGTCCTGGGATTCACTCACCTGCTGTGTGAACTCGGGTGGCCTCTCAACCTTTCTGGTTCTCAAATTCTGTGCCTTACAAATGGGAACTGGACTTTAGAATTTGAAAAATAAAATCTCTTCTAATTTAAAGACTCTGTCACTTCCCATTTTCTCCACTATACACCAAAATTCATTTTAATATTTTCCTTATTCACTGTTGTTTCAGTTTACCGTAGTTGAAGAAGCACTTTCTCCCAAAAGGACAATGGCAGCAAGGGGTTAAGAAAGTCTGTGGTGAATACATGTGATATTGTCTGGGTCTGTGTCTCCACCAAATCTCATGTCGAATTGTAATCCCCCAGTGGTGGAGGTGGGGTCTGGTGGAGGTGACTGAATCATGGGGGTGATTTTCTCATGAAAGGCTTAGCACCATCCCCTCTTGGCCTTGTCCTTGCAATAGTGAGTGAGTTCTCATCAGATCTGGTTGTTTAAAAATCTCCTCTCTCTCTCTCTCTTGCTCCTGCTCTGGCCATTGTGACCTGCGCTTCCCCTTGGCCTTCAGCCATGACTGTCAGTTTCCTGAGGCCTCCCCGGAAGCTGAGCAGATGTGAGCATCATGCTTCCTGGTCAGCCTGCAGAACGGTGGGCCAATTAAACCTCTTTTCTTCATAAATTACCCAGTCTCAGGTATTTTTTTCTTTTTTTTGTTTTTGAGACAGAGTTTCCTTCTTGTTACCCAGGCTGGAGTGCAATGGCGTGACCTCCGCTCACTGCAACCTCTGCTTCTTGAGTTCAAGCAATTCTCCTGCCTCAGCCTCCTGAGTAGCTGGGACTACAGGCACGTGCCACCAAGCCCAGCTAATTTTTGTATTTTTTAGTAGAGACGGGGTTTCACCATGTTGGCCAGGCTGGTCTCGATCTCTTGGCCTCGTGATCCACCCGCCTCGGCCTCCCAAAGTGCTGGGATTACAGGCGTGAGCCACTGCGCCCGGCCAGGTATTTCTTTATAGCAGTTTGAGAACACCGGAGATCAGCAGGACTGAGGCCAGCAGCACTGGCTGTCTAGGAGTGAGTGTTGCTTCCACAAGCTTTGGGAGTTAGTGAACATGAGCTTTCCTCGTTACTTGTAAGAACAGGAGTAACTTGTTTAGCTATAGACTGCCACCATTTAGTTGCCAAGGACAATAAGGATGGAGAATAATATCAGTCAAGATACTCTCTTTGGAATTATTATTAAATGCACAGACTCTCAATCACATAACATGTATCAAGTGACCAAATCTGCTCTCAGTAAATGGCACCAGCTCCCCCTGCCCCGACCCCCTTGCACTGAGACCCACGGAAAACAGCAGCAGCTTCTTCCAGCATGTGGGACTGGAGCCCAAAGGAAGGATGGGAACAGGGATCCGTGGTGAGGCTTGGGTTTCCCAGAGAAATCTCTAGGCGATTGCAAATTACTGCAGGGTTGGTGGCCCAAGGTTTCAGCATCTGGGAAGAGACATGTGGAAGGAAAAGAGGGGCTCTCAGGAGGAGAAGTTGGGCAGTCCAACTTGGCTCCAGGGCAGGAAGAAGTGGGGCAAAGATGATCCTGGAAAAATGCAACCCAGGGACTCCGGAATGGCCTAAATGTCTCTTAGAACTATGACCTCATGCCGAAAACTTCAAGGCCGTTCTGGTTGCATTAAACTGCGATTAGTGTAATTCATTTGTTTTCAGAAAACTTGAACTTGCTGCATCTTGAAAGAAGGGCTATGTTTTCAAAAGAACAACAATCCATGAATTCTATAACATCATTAAATGGCTTTTGAAAAAAAAAAATCATGACTTGTGCATTTATGTGTGTGTGTGTGTGTGTGTGTGTGTGTGTGTGTGTACGTTGTCACCAATGAATTATATTAATGATTTTTATGCAACTGATGCCAAGTTTTGGGGAGGACCTCAAGTCTTGCCTGGTGGGGTGACAGAGCCATTGTGGGTGTTTTGAGGACAGTGGCTTCCGGCCTGTTTGAGAAGCTGTGAGCAGGATCAAGTCCCATGCGAGGACCCCAGCTTGGGCCTGTTTGGTTAATGGCAGTGACATGAAAAGGAAGCTGAGTCTTTGAGACCTCTGAATGAAGGTTAAAAACCAGTAGATGCCGTATTGGATGTGGGAAGTCAAGGAGAGAAAGAACAAAAAAAGGCTTCAAGTCTGAAGGATGGGCTTGGAGAGCAGGACCCGAAGCTTTGGTAGAGCTGAGACTTAACACATGCAGAAAGAGCTGAGTTCCTTTGGAAGGAACACGAAGAATTCTCAATGACTGAGTGACAGATCTCTCTTTTCTCCTTCAACTGTCTTCAGATGTCTAAGAAAGCTGAAGATGAAAGGCTATTCCTAGCCCCTTTTCTGACACTTTGTCTTTGAGAGTGCCATATACAGGTAAGCAAGCAGGTGGAGAAGGGTGTGTGTACATATACAGACACGTATACTATGATTTCTATAAGTCAAACAGTTTTCATCTCTAAAAATATGTACATCTACCATCTGTTTATAATGATGTCGTATGTATACAATATATGAAAGGTGTTCTAAATACATATGTGCTTAGATACATTTCTGAAAGTTCTTTCCACTTATCCCTATTTATATGGTGTCAGAGCCAAATATCTTTGAAACATTTCCAGGAGCCCCTAATGACTCCCCTTTACATTTTTCTCAGTTATCACGAACCCAGAAGGCTTTTGAAATTGATGTGGTTAGAATTTTATCTGTTGAAAGAGGCTCTTTCTTCTGTATTCCAAGACAATACATTCAAGTTTTGAATCTCTGACCCTGGATTGGTTTTCTATACATTAATGCCTGTAATCTCAGCACTTTGGGAGGCTGAGGCAGGCAGATCACGAGGTCAAGAGATCGAGACCATCCTGGCCAATATGGTGAAACTCCGTATCTACTAAAATATAAAAAATTAGCTGGGTGTGGCGGTGCATGCCTGTAGTCCCAGCTACTCAGGAGGCTGAGGCAGGAGAATTGCTTGAACCTGTGAGGTGGAGGTTTCAGTGAGCCGAGATCGCGCCATTGCTCTCCAGCCTGGCCCCTAGCGACAGAACAAGACTCTGTCTCAACAACAAAAAAAAATGTAAGTAATAGGAAGGCTGAATTTCACACATCAAAGTAATTTATAGGCTGTTGCTAAAAACAGTGACAACCAGATAAAGTTACATGTTTGTTAATTTATTACTTTTAAATTATTTTAAAATTTATATTTAGAGACAGAGCCTCGCTCTGTCGCTCAGACTGGAGTGCAGTGGCGCGATCAAGGCTCAATGGCAGCCTCCGACTCCTGGACTCAAGCAATCCTCCCGCCTCAATCTCCCGAGCAGCTGGAACTGATTACAGGCATGAGCCACCATGGCTGGCTAATGCATTTTTAATGAAAAAAAATCAGACATCAACAATAGATCAAACTTATTTTTGAGGACGACAGATAAGAATAAATGCTTCTTAAAAAGCCTATGGAGTGTATACCTTATAACTAAAGTCCCAACCCTCGGACCGCAGACTGGTTTGTGGCCTGTTAGGAACTGGCGTCCATTTTCATTTTCTCCATCGATGACTGCCACACAGCGGGAGGTGAGTGGCAGGCAAGCAGAGTCTGCATTGACAGCCACCTCCCACTGCTGGCTCTACCGTCTGAGCTCCTCTTGTTAGATCAGTGGCACGTTCAAGTCTCAGGAGCGCAAACTCTATTGTGAACTGTGCATGCAAGAGGTCCAGGTTGGCACTCCTTATGAGAATGTAATGCCTCAGTGTCTGCCACTGTCTCCCATCACCTGTAGATGGGACTGTCTAGCTGCAGGAAAACAAGCTCAGGGCTCCCACTGATTCTACGTTATGGTGAGTTGTAGAATTCTTTCATTATATATTACAATGTCATAATAATAGAAATAAAGTGCACAATAAATATAATGTGCTTGAATCACCCTGAAACCAACCCCCAGCACCGTCAGTGGAAAAGTTTTCTTCCATGAAACCGGTCCGTGGTGCCAAAAAGGTTGGAGACCGCTGCCTTTTGACGCTGGCCAACACTTCAGACGGATGCAATTTTGATTGCTGAAACTTTTTTTTTCAATTTTAAACATACTTCCTCCATACAATGGGTAATTTACCTTTCTTTAAAGTACTTCCCAACATTTTTATAATGAGGATATGTAATATTTTACAAAAGAATGAAAGCATTACTCTTGTCCTCCTTTTCACTGTCTTTCGTTAAATCAAACAATATTAAATAAACTTTTTTTTTTTTTCTGAGATAGTCTTGCTCTGTCACCGAGGCTGGAGTGCAGTGCTGCAGTCTCAGCTCACTGCAACCTCCACCTCCTGGGTTCAAGCGATTCTCCTGCCTCAGCCTCCGGAATAGCTGGGATTACTAGCCTATGCCATCATGCCCGGTGAAATTTTATGTTTTTAGTAGAGACTGGGTTTCACCATGTTGGCCAGGCTGGTCTCAAACTCCTGACCTCAGGTGATCTGCCCACCTCGACCTCCCAAAGTGTTGGGATTATAGGCATGAGCCACTGCCCTCAGCCTCAATGAACTTTTAATCATCCTGGTTCCACCATAAGCTACGCACTCACCTCTCTTGAAAACTTCATAACGTATGGAGAATCCTGCACCGTGTGTCTCATAGTCAGAGACAAACTTAATAAAGAGAAACGGCCCTGAAGACACCACAGGAGGAGGGGCGATCTTTCCACAGAACTTTCCCCATAAGCGTCCATTTTCATTTTCTCCATCGATGACTTCCACATAGTCATACCTAGCGCACACAAACAGGGAAGAAAACATGAGGTTGATGAGAAACGCCCTTTTAATTTCAATCATTTAGACACCAGCATCATCTTTCATAGTGTGCCAGGAAAAAAAAAAAAAAGTCCTATCTGCATTCATCACTGCATTAAATGGAGGGGGAAAAAATCTAGCAAAAAGAAGTAATTAAAATGGGCTACATCATGTCTGTATACATCTGGCAACACAGAACTATTAAGAAGAATGGTGTCTATTATACTCGCCGACAATGTCAGTTAAAGTAACCAATTAAAAAGAAAAAGAAAAATCTCATGAGCACAATCCTCTATTATTAAATTGTGTTCCTTTGTCTATGGTGGTGGGGTGTCAATACATAATGCTATGCATTCTTTTCAAACTGTGAAGTTCTTTTATGAATTCAAAATGTCTCCTTGGCTGGAGCTTTCTATGAACAATACTTTGATTTCTGTGAGCGACCCTCTAAACATATGGCCACAGAATAATAAACAGATTCTTTACTATTTAACTGCATTCCACCAAACTCCAGGCTTCTTGGAAAAAAGTCTCTCAGTAGCCACATCCAATAGTTAAAATACACATTATCTTCCCTCAAATGACACTTGGATCCTAGAACATAACTTCTCCCAAGAAAAAGTTTAGTTAAAAATGGAAAATAACTTTGTTTATACCCGCTAGTCTGAATCTTTAAAGTAATATCACTGTTTCAGTCTTTAAAGAAATCTCACTGTTTGAGAAAGAAACACTTGATATCACCAAAGTGATGAGATGTAAAATTCAGGCTTAATAATGACACTAAGAATACAAATAGTAAGAGAAGTGACAATAAAATATTACTGGAAATTTAACATGGAGATAAGATATACTTGGATCTCATTTATCTTTAAATGTACAAAGCCATCACCAATACACTAGGGTCTCGTAGGAAAACAAGAGGCTTTTGTTTATTTGGTGTTATATATTTCTTAGTAGCTTTCTCTCTCTTCTCTTTTTATTTACCAAGTCACCGAGGAGCCAGAGAATCTGATTCATTTTCCATTTTTCTTCCAGAGATGACATGAAAACATTTCAAGGCGTTCATTTCCAACCTGTATTTCATTTCTGTGCTTAACTCGGTTCAAAAGTCCTGGGATATATTAATTTCAGGAATGGCTAAAATATGGCAGTAACATAAACTGTATCTGGCAATTTAAAAGAGATCAAAGTGGGGGAAATCTTCACGATGCCCAATGTCATCTTTAACAATCTCTTCTCAAACTGCCCGGGACGCATGACTTATGTTTACATAAAGTCTCAGGAGACAACTGCAATGATGATATCACTAGTTAAAGTGGACAGCTTAAGGCTCTCTAAATTAAAAGTGACATTACCTCATCAGTTAAAACTGTGTGCCAGTTCTGTGTATATCAAGAAGAAAATAAAGCTGACATTGATGGAACTAAGCATTAACATATGTGAATTATTGTATTAACTGCATTTCCTCTGCTACATCTGATGCTTCCAGTAGTAGACACTTGGCCTGCTAACACCACTGCCCCTTTGCAAGACTATGGAAATACACAGAGGTATTGTTCATTTCTCCTTACTTTGGGAAATGCTTTGCATGTTAAAAGAAGACGAAGGAGAAGGAGGAGGAGAGGGAAGGGGGAAAAGGAGGAGGAGGAGGAGGAGGAGGAGGAAGAGGAGGAGGAGGAGGAGGAGGAGGAGGAGGAGGAGGAAGTAACCATTATGTTCAAAATCCTAACTAGCCTTTACAATCAATGGGATGTAGCTGGAAAGAATATCATCTCTGCATTCATTAAAGCCCCACAAGTTGGCATTTACGGAGTCATTCCTTTTATCTCTCCTGCTCCACTGACAAGGCCGGTCTGCATGTTTCTCCCCACGCTTGCTTATAATTTAACTGTGATTCGTACTGTTGACTGTGTTTGGCCTGACCACGGTGCAACTAGCTCTGCAATATAGGCTTTTTACTTGAATCCTGACACGGTCTGAATACTAAGTGGCCAAATTCTAGCTCATGTTGCCTTCCTGGCACAAATAAGAGAGGTGGGTGAGGCATTCTAAAGAACTAAGGGCATTTCCGTGGAGGATACGCTCCTCTCAGGTAGCAGAGAGCTCAGCTAATACAGCGCTGGTGCCTTGCAACAGGGAAAGAAGCTGGTATTTTAATTCACATATCCTCCAATAGTAAATACTAGGCGTTCCTCTTGGCAAAAGTAAAAGCTATTTTTAAAAGTATGTGTGGGGTGGTGGGGGCTGGGGAGTGGGATAAGAATCCCTTCCCAGCAAGAAATAAGTCATCGCACAGTTGAGTGCCAATTTTAGGAAATTGAATTATTCAGGAATACTATAGTTAAATTTGTAAACTGGAAGACTGCTATCATTTTAGCACATCTCTTCCAAGTACTATCCAACAGGGCCCCAAAGAGTATCACAAATAGCAGCTCTTGTAAATATTCAGGAGGGTGTACAGCGCACAAGTTGCAGAGGAGAGCGCACTGCCAAAGAAGTTAAGGAAGCAGCTTGCCTCTCCCTCTGGAGTTGATACCAGCTCCGCTCGCAAAGTTTCGCGCTGGCAAGGGTGCTGCCGGGAATGCAGCTGGTGTGCCAGCATCCCTCCCTAGAGACTAAACATGTCACCACTGCAACGCACCCAGCCTGCATTGGCCCGAGGCCCAGGATCCTTAGTTTGCAAATTTCGATCCCGAAGCCGGCTGCACGTTGCTCTGTTACTGCTGCCAGTGTGGCAAACACGGCACCGCTCGGGATGTCACGATGCCCCGTCACGACAGCGGAGCCCGGCAAAAGTGCGAACCAAGGCACCTGTTGGGTGAAGGCACCTGTTGGGTGAAGGCACCTGTTGGGCTCTTCTTCGTTCCCCGCGTTCCCGCCGCTGGATGAGAGCTGGGAATTGCATCGGAGGAATTTAATTCATAAAAGCTAGAGGACGGGTCAGAAAGTTGACCCCTCTGTCTGTCTGGGCCCCTGCTCTGGAAAAAGAGCACTCCAGTTCACAAGGAGACTGTGAATGGGTCCAAAGGGCACCATGGTTCTATGCAGGGTCTGGAAGCTGGGCGTCTTTTTCTCTGCTCACAGACAAGGGTCCCATCTGGGGAAGGTCCCTCCCCAGATCTCACCCTCCCCATTTACCACCCCCGGAATGTAAACATGATGTGGAATATTTTAAATATTCAGAAGACAACCAACCCCTACCTCCTCATTTAGGCGTCTTCCCATTATTTTTCTTCAATCTTCTACCTTAAACCTTCCCCATTCTGTAGTAACAGTGGTAAAGTGGATGAACACTTACTGCCAAGTAACTCAAAGACAGATCTCCGCCCGAACCCTTTTGAAATTAAAAGGTGTTTTGCCGCTGTTTCAATTTTAGGGTGTAATCTACCAGGTGGTTGTTCTCATGAGCGTCAATTCACGCTCCTCAAGCTAAAAGCTTATGGGCTACCTATTTCCCCAGGCTCACGCCATCTGGGCAGATGCAGGTAGTGAAACATTTTGAATCCTAACAGTAATCACAAGTCAGGTTTCCCAGAAGAGTGCTCAAAGAATAAAGATTTCTTTCTAAGAATTCTTAAAAGGATCACCTAGAGATTATTATTTTTCTTTGGAAAAGTTTGAATTATGGCTTTAGGAAAATGGCCAAGTAGGGAAAAAGTGTTGAGAAAATGAGGAATGTATTCAGTCGCTAAAGAGTGGTTTCTGAGGCTTTATAGGTATGCGGTGCTGAACAGATGAATAGTGACTTTGCCTGAGTCAGGTTTTCTCTGGTGAGTACAAACGACCCCTGACTCTACGGTGGAGCCGGCGGGTGGAAAGGAAGCCAATCCTCTACAGAGTGTTGTATGACACTGTGAGCTACTGTACCAGCCCCCACGGCTTCTGGACATTCTCACATTATTAGGAAGGGGGATTTGAGGTGGTGGTGTCTTTTTAATCTCCTTCCACGAGGATCTCCCCCCACTGGCATATGTACGTTAATAATGGGGAAATATGATACCTGACGTCATAAACCAGCGTGAGAAATGATGTTGGTGAACACAATTTACACCTGCAAAAATGTGTTTCTGTGGCTCCTCCGTTTATTTGGCATGAGGCATTAATAGCTCTGCAAACTGAACAACCTGTAAACGATTGCTGTTCTGCCGTCCAAGAATTAACTTACCTATCTCCCAGAAGAGACCGGATTTTTTTCTCCCAGAATGTTAGGAAGAGGATTTGGAAGCAAAAATATACAGCGGTGGAGCTAGGAGGAGCCAATGAGTCTGCATCTGTGTTTCTGAGTGGTTTTACATGAGAGTCAGCCCCTAATGGTTCTGGCTTGCTTGCAATGTTCTCATCATGATGTATGAAAAGTCTTAAAATTGTCATAGCCTCTAATTTAATAAAAGCAATTTTTAGAAATCTGCTCTAAGGAAACAACCCAGAATAGTGTCAAATACTTATGTAGATTCATACCATGGAATATTATTTGGCCACTAAAAAACATGTTCAGTCCCGTTTTCTTGGCTCACACCTGTAATTCCAGTGCTTTGAGAGGCCGAGGAGAAAGGATCACTTGAGCCCAAGAGTTTGAGACCAGCCTGGGCAACAAAGCAAGAACCCCCAACCCCTTCTCTACAATTTTTTTTTTTTTTTTAATTAGCAGAGTATGGTGGCTTGTGCCTGTAGTCCCACCTGCTTGGAAGGCTGAGGTGGGAGGATCACTGAGCCCAGGAAAATGAGGCTGCAGTGAGCTGTGATTGTGTCATTGAACTCCAGCCTGGGCAACAGAGCAAGATCCTGTCTCTAAAATTAAAAAAACAAAACAAAACAAAAGCATGCTCAACAAAAGTTTCTTAAATAACAAGAAAAATACTTATGATATTATCAGTAAAAAATCAGAACATAAAACCCTATATATAGTATATTCTCAATTCTTATTCATATACAGAAAAAAAAAACGCTAAAAGGAACTAACCAGCCAAGCCGTTAGGT